CACTGGCCATAATGATTATTCTTCGGCGCACAGCAGAGTGATTCCCTAATTATTGCCTCCCCATCCACACGCAAAAAATAACCCCCCCCCCAAAAAAAAAAAAAAAAAATTTCAACATAAAAACGCACGCTGATAATTTTTCCTACTCCTCCTCCTTCTCCCGCTGGATGTCGGCAACTTTGGGCTTTCGTATTATTAGTATTATTTATCTCTGCCCTTCTGTCTCTTTTTTTTCTACTGACGTCGGTCAACTGTTTGTGCACCTGAACTTCTCAGCTGATACCGCCACTTGATACTGACGCACATTCGCATTCCACTTCGCCTGCGTCTCCAGCTGCTGCTTACTTTTCGGCACTTTTGCGTCGTCGGGGACGCCGCAGCGCTGTCACGTGTCTCTTGCCGGGGCGTCGCTGCGCTGCACGTAAATAATCTCCCACGACAAGCCTTCCGCAAAAGTTCCCCAACCCCTAAAATAACTCCGTAAAAAACACTTTAACTTTTTTACTGTGCTGGCGGTGGTGTCATGCGACTTTGATATAGTCACCTGCAGCCCAACCATCGTCCTTCCCGACGGTGAGTCCACGAAGAAAAAGCCGTCCAGCAGGGGAAAGTGTTCGATCCTCGGCACGTACAGCACGCGGCACCGTATATCGAGCACCGGCGTGCTGGGCTTCTTTCTGGGCAATAAAACCGCGTCGGGTGGATACAAGTCAGGGTGCAACTGCAACACGCAGTCCTTTCTTGTGTGTCCTTCTGGTGACTTCAGCTCTTTGAGTTCCTTTACCACCGCATTGACAAAGGACCTCTTCGTGAATGCGTACACAGCTTACTTTTCCAGAACTGAGGACAAGAGCGAATCCTTCGACTCCAACGCCAGCAAAACAAAATCCGTCTCAGCCATTACCCCTGCCAGTATTAGTATCGTTTCCTGTCCGAGTAAATAACACACCGGTGCGTTGAGAAATCTCTCACCACCTTTTTCTCCTCTTACTCTGACAATTTTTACAAGTTGGTGGGATGGATTCTTCGCAGGCCACAAGCTCTTGGCCATAATGCCTTTGTAATGCTCGGCATCCGAAGCGGTAAGCTGGTTCACGGTGGCCTTGGCCGCTTCAAATCGGCGCTTGGATTTTTTCTCGTCGAAGATATATCGTAGAATTGGTTCAACTTCTTCCATGTGACTCTCTACCGCCACCCTGTACTTCTTTTGGTCCTCGGCGGGCTCATCGCGCGTCTCCCAGGCACATATTGCCTTCACATCAAGCTCGTCAGGGCAATTCATGATGATTTGCGTTTCGCAATCTCTTTGCTTCGCCCACCCTTTATAGTTGTTTACGTTTGGAGATGTCAACACAATGATGCCCCATGTGCGGGCGGGGGGAAACTTCTTCGTGGGCCCTTGACCCTGACGAAACACATCGTAGATAATATACCCATTCATTCCACTCGCAGCCAAAGCAATCAAAACCCTTCACACATTGCCCGCTCCCTTATAGCCTGTCACTTTTTTCGTCGCCCTGTCGAACACGTACGCCGAGTTTCTTCCAAAGGAGTAGACGACGACGTGGAGTTGACTATCGCCGTAGCGGAGCATTTGGTAAAGAAGGTAGGAGCCAACGTTCATCGACTTACCGATGCCGGGCGTCCCAATCAAAACACGCCGCATCGGCCCCTGCAATTCCCCTTCGCGGGCGGTGAACCATTCGTTTAGATCTCTTTCGACGATCCGCCACACCCGATGCACCTCACGGGTAACGTAGCAGTCGGCAAGAGGCTCCTCCCGCAGCGAGTACGGCCACTTCTGCTCCGAGGTGAGTATCACCAGCCGGGGACGCGGCGGAACAAACTGCCCCGCATCTTCCACCGGCAGAAAAGTTAAGTCATCCTGCCTGTACTCCCACAGCTCTTGGGGTGCCTGACCCGCCCTCACCTCCATGCGCACCCGTCTGTAGCGTCCTTCGCCTTCGTGAAACTCCAAGACGTGACTGCACTTCGCGTTGAGCACAGAGTCGTAGAATCCATTCGGTACCGGCAGCATGCCAACTGCTTGTATCCGAGTTGCACTTTCTGCCTTCTCCGCCGCGGCAAGGGCTGCGTCGAGCTTTCCCTTTGCAAGAAGAGTAACCGTCTCCTTCTGTGGAAATTCCTTCCATTGAGCGAGAGAAGACACGCCTTGGACCGCAAGCTTGCGTGCGTCCTCCAGGAGCTGATACGCTTGTGAATTAAGAATGTCCTCGCGAACCTCCGGGTCCGTGACGTACCTCTCAGGCCTACGAGCAAACACCTCCATCATTGCATTGCGGCCTTCGGGCACAAAATCGGGATCAACGTATTTCCTGATGAAGTCGTTTAGCGTCATTTGTTCTGTAATATCTACTCCCTCCAGCAGCACGTCTTTCACCGTACTGGTTAGGGTCCATTTTTGCTGCCGCTGTGTTTGCAGTTCAGCCGCTCGTGTCACTTCATCATTGGTCTGTTCCACTTCTTCAGAGCCTCTCTCAATTCGAGGGCGTTCCGCACTGCGTTGGCCCGTGCCTTCCTCATTTCCCCTAGGCATTCTTTTCCTCAATTTTTTCTCTTTACTTTGTTGTAGTTGCTGTTGGCTTGAGCTGCAGCCGAACACCAAACACCAGCCAAAAGGAGAATGAGAAACAAAAAAATAGGCACACAGGCACACGACCCC